CTGCTTAAACCTCTGGCATCCCTATAGGGGTGACAGGTGGAATAAGGTGATAATTAAGAACTTGGCATAGAGATTATGGATGATCCTTTCAACGGAATGCTGGGCATGGACTCGGAGACCCCTCTCCATCCTTCTAGGAATATTTGATTCTATAGGGGTGGGAGACTATAAGCTATTTTACAGCTCACACAGAGTAAATAGTGTCTGTATATCAGTGGTTACTGATTTGACGTCAATGATAGTTGGAAATAGTTGCTAATGTACAATTTCATATTGATCCAAGAATGGGGATTCCAGGATGGCCAAAGCATTGCTGCTATCACATTCCCCACATTTCACTGTGTCCCAAACACTGGACATCATTTTATGGCTACTCAATTAATCATCAAAAGGGGTGATATCTTCCTTCCAGAGCGCAGAAAGCCTTTACAGGTGGTTAATGCTCTCTTCTCCCCCACCACGATCTCTCCAACTGTTTAGTAACTATAAAAATGTGAAAATGCCATGGTTTGGGCTCGGGCGAAATGTTTCTAAATGAAATGCCCTATCTTGCCTCTGTCAAGGTCAATTATGTCTAAGGAAGTAATTCTCAAGCAGGTTCCCGAACTTCACATTTCCCTTGCCCTAAGAAGGAAGACTGGCTTTTAGCTAATGGAACTTCCACTTGGCTCATAGCGTTATTGATTTTTACTTTCTCAGAACCATAAATATTGACAACCATCTCAGAGAAATGCTGGCACCACTTCCACCCTCTCTCCCCCTGGCAGGCTGACATTGGGCCATTCTGTATGCAAATAAGAGTCGAGTCCTCTGGAAATTATGAATGCTGATCCAAGGAAGACTGAATTCTTGATAACACATCAGGGAATCCCAAGGACATTGCTCACAAAGCTTTGTCGAAACCTCACCTGATGCAGAGAGAAATTCTTCATTTTATCACATCATGAAAGATTATGTGAAACTTTCCAAAGAGGGGCTAGAACACAAAAAACTTTCAAATGCTCTTGCCAGGAGAAATCGCCAGTGAATTTGGATATAATCTCTCCTTGCTGTCTAATCAATCTCTTCCTTCCACACTCAGTCCAAACACAGGGTTCCTCCTGGTCTGTGTTAGACACACTGAAATTCATTATCTCATCTGCCTGGTGCTACTGTTTCCAATAAAGTGTAATTATGGTGTTATTGAGCTCCTCACTTTCTCAAACCCATGCTATAAACTTTGGGTCTGTGAGAAGTTACTTCCCAGTCAGTCTTCATTAAGCTGAATTGTCTCAGAACAATGTCTATTTAATCAGCAGGGTGCCCACTAATTTTCTTTTTTAGAATTTGTATTAGCATAACAGACATGGGTGTGCCATGCCTTAGACACTGCACTATTACAACTCAATGTTTCCTGATTGAATGGGGTTACCTGATGCCAAAAGATCCTTCCTCTGTCTCTCCATCAGGGCCCAGCTGGGAGGAGGATGCAACTCTCTCCTGAGGAGAGCATCCTACACTTCCATGCAGGGTAGTGGGAAGTACAGTAGGTCCTCAAATATTGTCTTTTCATTCAATGTCATTCTATTATAAAGTTGATGAGAAAGGAAACAATCCTAGTTGTTGAAATGCTATTATTCGAGGACCAGCTTTTGTTAACCATGACTTATAGCTGCAGCTTCCAAGAACCTTATCAGTGTTGTTAAGTGGTGTTGAGGGGGGCTAATGGTATTAAGTGGGGACTTACTGTGCAGGGTGCTTTGCAACTGCCTCTATCATTTAAGAGACCTAAATTCTGTGAGGCAGGGGCTTCTGTGTTGTTTTCCTTCCCTCAGTGGGCCAAGGATATGGTCAACAACTCAACAAATAGTGTGGGATGACTGTAAAAATGACTAAGGTTATATCACTTCCCTATACTTGCGGGCATGTCTGGTAGTATTCCTGGCCAGAAGTGCAATATGGTCATAGATCCAAATAGCTAAGGAAAATTAGTGGGCACCCTGCTGAAAGGAATTAATCTAAGCAGCTACTATGTGCATAGCTTTATACTGTGCAGGATAAGGAAGGTGTTGTGGGTGATAATAAAGATTTGGCTTGTACAGATTTTCTTGGGTAAAGTTGAGTTTCAAAAAGAAAACTATTTGTCTTGCTCCTTCTGCCTTATTTCACTTAGCATAATCCCCTCCAGTTTCATCCATGTTGTCACAAATGGTAAGATACAAGATGATTTCTCTCAGTTGTGGAATATAGGGAAATAAAATAAAGGAGCAGACAACTAAACCAAAATAAACCCTAGATATCTGACTGGAGAATTGAAGCAGCAGAGGAGGAAGGAGAGTAAAGCAGGGAGGGAGCCCAGTGGGCTACAGTAGAGGATTATGGGTGCCTGGGGGTGGCTGTGGTCCAGTAACATACATCTGTAAGAGGCGTGAACCTGTACCTCTGAATCATATACAGAGTTGTAAACCACATTACTTCAGTAAAAAATTAAGAAAGAGGGGCCTCCCCGGTGGCGCAGCAGGTTGAGCGCAGCACTGTGAAGCTGTCCACAGCCTCTGTAGCATGGGTTCGATTCCCAGCCGGCCAAGGAGATACCCTCATGGCGCAGCAGACCTCTTCTGTCTCACCCACTGCTCCCCTCAGCAGTGTTTTTGGTCGTCTGCCTGTTCTGGTCCCCACTCTGCCTCTGGTGAATCCTCTCACCCTCCTGAGCCTCTGGTTATACCCCAGTTCTTTTTTTTTTTCTTTGAAGATTTATTTATTTATTTATACAAGCACTGGGTACAGCCAGAAGCACAGGAGGGTGAGAGAATTCACCAGAGCCAGAGCGGGAGCGGAGCAGGCAGACTGAAGAAGTACACTGCTGAGGGGAGCAGCGGGCGGCAGGAGAGGTCTGTGCGCCTTGTGGGACCCTCACCTGGCGGCCGGGGATCGAACTGGCACTGCAGAGGCTGTGGGCAGCTTCGCAAAGCAGCGCTCAACCGCTGCGCCACCTGGGAGGCCTATACCCCAGTTCTTGTATAAATAAATAAATCTTTAAAATAAACAAATAAAAAGAAAGAATACTGTAAGAACAAAAAAGCACAATGTAAAATGGGGGAAATGTTTGCAATAAATCTAAGATAGCAAGATTTCTCAGGGAAGAAAAAAATATCCAATTAGGTATTTTCAGATTACATTTCCATTTCCTTTCTGACCTGAGCTTCTTTACCTTTGGTCTGGACTACATTTTATATCCCCACATCAGTGAAATCATCTTCAGGAAACAGTTTCGTTGGCTCCTCCTGTCTGGCTTTGTAGTATTATAAGGAGCATGGAGTGGATTTCCTCTCCGAGGCAGCCAATTTCCTAAGCAATTAAATGCTGTTTATATTCCAAACTCTGTGCTTGGGTGGAAATTGTCAAGCTTGATATTACCTGACTGTTGCCTGAGATGTGTCCCCTGCTAGTTTATTCTACTGTAACTGCGATCTATTAAAATTTCCAATCTGTTCTCTCCTCAAGGGATCACACAGTACTTGGCAAAGGTGCTGCTTCTAAAATCTACAAATTATACTCATCTATATAAATATATACTTTTGAAATGGCAAGGCTTGCAAACTCTTCTACCAAATTGACATCCCAGTCTGCTATCCTTTAGCAGGAAAGGCAATGCCATGCTCGTCTATCACACACAGACACCTCTGTACTCATTTCTACCAGCCACATAATGGAGGTGCCAAACTTGTGAAATTCCTCCACGAGGTCATCAAACTAAGGTGCTAGTCCTTGTCACTGCCAGGTGTGGACATAACAGATTGCAATTTAGTCTATGTAGCTTAGAAACAGAAACCATACAATGCTCTGGATATCAAAAAAATTGTAATATCAAAATTAACATTTCTAGTTGAGAATGCTGCTTTTCATTGTGGCCACTCCTTACGGTTTCTAGTCTGAATGGGAAAGTGAGGTGATGGCTGTATTTCCACTTTATGTCTTTTATTTGCATTTTATTAAGCCTTTTATTCAAAGGAGAGAGATGCAGGTGTTAACATCTGTAAGCCCCCTTCTTGGGCAGCATGATGTGCACCCAGCATGTCCTTGCACTAGCAAGCAGCACTTCATGCTCCTATGGGGCATTTCTGGGGCAACTGCAGCTGACTGGGGGTTTCCCAGGCCTGAAATAGGGGAGAAGGGCTAGAAATGGAAGACTGCTTTCTCTTCCTAATGATCCCGCAGGTGTGTCCCTTGCACACCTTCTATGAAGACAGGGATCCTATTCTCCACACCCCTTCTCCAGGGCTCCACACAGTTCTGGGTGTGTTAAAACAGGGTGGTACAGGGCCTCCCTGGTGACACAAGGGGTTAAGCACCACACTATGAAGCAACCTGAAGCCTCTGCAGCATGAGTTCAATCCCCTGGCTGGCCAGGGAGCAACCCACATGGCGAGGCAGACCTCTCTTGTCTCGCCTGCTGCTCCCCTCAGCAGTGTGTTTCAGTCAGTCTGCCTGTTCTGTTCCCCACTCTGTCTCTGGTGAATCCTCTCACCCTCCGGCATCTCTGGCCTGTACCAGAGATTTATGTATGCATAAATAAATAAATCTTAAAAAAAAAAAAAAAAAAACAGGGTGGTACAGGATCAACAGCACTGGAGCAATGCTAGGGCCTGCCTCACAGGTCTGGGACTAGATGGTCCCGGCTCACTAGCCCCTTTTCACCACGGATCAGAAGACAGCACGGTGTTTTGGGTCTGGTGCTAGTGATCCTTCCGTCCCTCTTTCTACCAGTTCTGACCAGTGACAGCACACAGCATTCATGGAGAACACAGGGGAGCGCCCTGCAACAGGCTGGTTCTGTCCCAAGCACCATGATGAAGCCTAGCTGGCCATATGGAGATGTCTGCTCCCAGGTGACCCCCACTCCCTTGAAATCAGCCCTGAAGGGGCAAAGGAAACACACAGGCTTTGGGTAGGGGGACTGCAGCGCTTCTCAGCCGGCATGGCTAACACCGAAGAAGGAGCAGCAGTGCAAGGGGCCTCACCTTTCAGCTTCTCGGCCAGCAGGGTAGCTTCGTGCTCTGAGTAGTGCATGATGGCCGGCGGGGAGGGGGGCCGCAGCCGGTCCTCCTCCAGCTTGCGGCGGTGCCGCTCCTCTCGGGCGCGCATCCTCTGCTTACATTCCCACTCATAGAAGTCATCCCTGGCCTGGGCGAAGTCCACGTGCAGGCGGCCGGAATCCTTTTTGTCTGTGCTAGACCCTAATCGCATCCTGTAACCTGAAACCAATGGAAAGTCTGGTCATATCAGAGGTCACAATGGTAAAGGCAAAGTTGGGTCCAGGCCCTCTGTGTGGCCTAAGCAAGCTCTCACTTATTGCTCTGCTCTTACAAGGGACAACCTTCTCAGAGGAGGTGGGAAGCAGTTTTCTTTCTCCCCAGTAATCTGAGAGCACTGCCCAGCAATCCGCTGTTACTAAGAGGATAACACAAGAATGGGGCTCGCCTCCTACCACCTTCTTCCCTCTGCCTTCCAGGAAGCTCAGAGAGAGATATGGCAAGTAGCAGTTTTGCACTCTACCTTTCCATGGTCCTAATTTTATATTTTTAATTTACCCTAACTATTGTGTAAAAGCTCTTAAATTCTTTTCTAGAAAGAGGTGGAGTGGGGCATAAGCAAAGAGTATCTATGAACTTAGAAAGACCTACAAAGTAAATTCCACGACATCTCCCTCCCAGGCTACAGCTTTATCCCCCTGGAAAAAGCTGCTGCTCGAGTCTCTCTCAGCAGCTGCAAAAGCCACAATTACCAAGGCAATTTTGCAATGCTGTTTTATTTCCACTTATCCTCTGGGGCACATAGAATATTTTACCTTCAATCAAGAGGCCTTGCTGCTGCCTTTCTTAGAGCCCTCCGCACCTCATCTGGCACGCAGTACTGCACAAATTGTCCACACAATCTTTGAAGGCCACAGGAGCCCATGCGAGAGCCCAGAGCTAGACCAAAAAAAAAATTGGGCCTGGAATTCTTTGGGGGGTTTCCTATGAGCTACCCAACTTAAGATTATGATTGGAGACCTGACCTGAGAAATCAACACAAACAGAACTGAAACCTAACTTCAAATGAAGAAGATTGGACATTGAGGTTGCTCTTCAAGTTGGGGTACTCAGATTTTAAAAACATAAGTTCAGGTCCCAGGGGGATCAGAGCTATCAGAGGCTGCCAGAGGAGGGAGCGGAATAAACATGTGGGCTTATTTCTGTAGGGGCTTTGCAAATGAGACACCACTGTGAAATGCTGGGCTGCACCGTGCTGCTATTCAAGATCTCCTGGCAGATTTCAGTGGATTATCTTATCATTTTGGCTTGAAGCTCTGTTAAAAATCCCCGTAGGGGCTGGCTTCTCCCTGGTAGGGCACTTCACAACTTTGAAAAGTTACAAATAGGAAAGAGATTTCACATCTGATTCTCCTCATGTGCTTCTCCTTCCTAGATTTCAACAGTGCTATTGAACAATGGGAAGTCGTCATGTTATCTCAAGACACAAGTACCCAATTACTGATGAGCAGCATTAATGCTCAAGAACAGTCTGTCTTGGTTGTGGGCTGTGGAATCTTAACAAGTAGGCAGGCCAGTGGGGTATATAAATAGAGTTTCTAAGACAGATCAGCTGTCCCAACTGGCCAGGCAACTTTCGTGTCCAGAGCATTACTTTTCAGACATTTCTGGTCCCCCAAAAGCACCCTCTCTTTCAGCAGAACATCCTTAAGGCTTTAAAAGACACCTGATGAGGTTGAGTCTATAATAGCTAGGTCTTCAAATGTGAAAATGGGCCTAAAACTAGACAGGCCTCCCAGCTGGGCTCAGGCTGCTGCAGCTCACATACGGGAGGGGGAGCCTTTCTTGCTTCCTGACCTGCCCAGTAACTAGCCTTTCAGATCTTTCCAGATTGACACTACAGTCTCCCCAGGGCAGTGGATGCAGAGCCTGGAAACTCCTGTGCATGCTTTTGCTGTACAGGCCTTTGCTGTGGGCTCCTGTGGCTCCGAAGGAGCTGAACAAGAGGCCCCACTGGGAAAAGCATGGCATCAAGGTACATATACAGGATTCCTTTCATTTGACTAATTTTTGGTTGTTCATTTTGGCAATATCTTAGGGATTTTCTGATTGGATCTAAACATTGTATCATGACAGTGTTGAAAAGCACTTTTGATCTACTCTAACCCCTTGCTTTTATCAGGTGGGGTAAAATAATAGTTTAATTGGTAGAACTGTGATTAGAACCCATGTTCTCAGGGCAGGGTTCCTAGGAAACAAGAGCCAGTCTTTCTCATTGGCAGCATATTTGTGTTAAAAACAACATTGTGGGCCTCCCTGGGGGCCTAGGGATTAAGTCTTAGCGATATCACCCTTAGGGGTGAGTTTGATCCCTGGACAGGGAGCTGACCCACATAGGACACAGCAGACCTCTCCTGTCTCACCCACTGCTCCCCTCAGCAGTGTATGTCAGTGGATCTGCCTCTTCTGCTCCCCACTATCTCTCTGGTGACCTCTCACCCCCACATCTCTGGCCTACACCCCTGTTCTTCTGTGCATAAATCAATCAATCAATCTAAAAACTCCAAACAAATAGAACTATTCAGTAATGAATTGTTCCTAAGTTGCAGGTGCCCAGCTAAGTAATTAATATCCATTATTTTTATTTTTTTCCTCATAACAATCCTATAAGGTAGTCATGTTTCTATCTTGATTTTGCAGAGGAGGAGAAAGGAGGCTCAGAGAAGGTATCTTGCCCAAGGCATGTGAAGCCCAGGGCCAGGCACTCAACAGAATCCCCATCTATCTGACAGATTACCATGGTGCCTTAGCACAAGGATGCGTGAAAGCAATACATAGCTGTTTGTATGTTGCAAAATATTTGTACTCCATGTCTCGTCTTCTATTTTCATTTTGGAATGCTTTCTGATTTTTTTCTTACTTTGTCAGGTTTTACTGGAATAAGAGTTTTTAAATTCTCCTGATCACCTTCTGATGTACTGGGAGAACAACCCGAAGGTTTCTGGGGTTTGCCTGAGAATTTCATGGCAATAGGGGTTGGTAGCAGGAATTAAGCAAATCTGGCATTAATGTTCAGATTTTCTTCCTGTTCTTTACTTACCTCCTCCCTTTAGCTGGGCATCAGGTATAGAGAGGTGGGGAGAAGCATGACAAACTGAAGTATGCAGATGGAGAGTGTGAGGGGCAGGCAGAGTTGAATCTAAAAATACCTCTTTAAGTCACCTATCAACACCAGACCTCATAATTCTTAGATTTGTACAATAGATTTTGCGCCAACACTCAGAGAGCGGAAGGCAGCATTAGGTTTAATTTCAAACATTGGTAAAAAGTCTCCAGTAATAGGGGTAATGGAACAGCCTTAACTAAGTTAGTGAATTTAGTTAACTAAGTTCCATGCACAGGCGATTGGGCAGTGATGCTGGACCTTCCTCTAGGGCTCACGGACCTTTTTCTGCAAAGAACTGACCTAGATTTGGTACCCTGGAATCCAGAAAGTAAACCACTTTTGAAAAACTGAAATTATGCCTACAGAGTGTCCTTTATTCCCCCAGGGGATTTCATCGAATAGTAACATAGGTCCTCAGTATTTATAATATTGCTTTTCATCTAATAAGCACTTGACAACATTAATTAGGAATGCAGTAGAATTCCTAAAGACAGGATGGTTGGGAACGCTTTCTGGAGGGAGGTACATTCCCAGACTTAATGGCCAGCTTCTGGAGGCCCAGGAAAAAGGCAGACTTCACTCTCTTTCCAACTCAAACTGTAAGGATATCATTGTGGATTAAGGCAAAAGGAAATAAGCTCATATTAACATCACAAAACATATCAAAACACCTAGAAATCCCCTTATATAATGCAAAGTACCAGAAAGGTAAATGGCTTTATCAACCATGAACTCCTCTGCAAAACGAATGTGGCAAAAATTCTTCTTGCTTTTCCGAATTGCTGTGATATCACCACATTGCTCAAAGACTTCTTGAATGATTTCCTCAGTGGCGTTTTCTGGTAATCCTCCGACAAACACAGTTTTACACCCAGGAGGTCTTTCTCTTGTGGAGGGAGGTGGAAGATCTAATAATCACAATAAAACAAAGGATTTTACCTTTTATTTGTGATCTTTTTTCAGGCTCACCTCGCAAAAGTAAAACTTGTAGAGCAACCTTCTCCGTTCTATGTCATGATAAATTTCTCTCCCCACAAACCCTGATCTCAGGCTGCCTTGCTTTTCAGCAATTCGTTCCTTTCCTCAACCTCTCTTTACTTTTGTGTTCATTTTGCACAGTGGCTATGCTTGTCCATGAACAAAGATAAAGCAAAGGTTAGCATAATTTCATTTCTCCTTCATAATACAAAAGGCCAGAAAATGGGGGGGAGGGGCACTTCACAAAGTACAAAGCATGATGAAATAACAACATGATGAAAAGCCACAGCTTGCTATCTGCTTTGTCTTGTTGCTGAATAATGGAAGTGCAAGGCAGAACTCGAGAAGGGAACCTGGAAGCTGCCGGGCTACTTACTTGGCCAGGAAACATCAGGCCTGCAAAAAAACACCTTTTTTATTATTCACCTTTAAATAAGCAAACTATTACATTTGGAGGAGACTGTATAAAAAGATAAAATGTACACTGTCACAACATTTTGCCTAGTTTATATGTAGATTACTAAAGCAATCTCCTGAAAAGTCCACTTTAAAAAGCAACATTGATTAATATGAATTAAAGAAAAAACCAACCCAAGCTATATAAACCCATAAACTTAGTATCTGAGGCTAAATTAAAAAAAAAATTTGGTCCATTTATTTCATCAAACGTATGTTTCCTTCAAGCAAATGCAATTTGGCCCAGAAACTCTGAAATGTAGGCTCCCCCCTACAATTGTTAACTGCCAAATTAATTCATTTTTTCCATCTAGCAAAACACATTTCAGAGTTTTTCTCCCACATTTGTGAAGATGGATGGAAGTGCTCAAGTTTCACACTCTTCTGCAGAAAATGCTAGACTTCACTGCACACACATAGATTCTTAATGCTGGAAATATAGCTGCAAATCACACATGTCACTTTCCTGGTGTTGATTCAGCTCCTGGACAGAAACACAGACACATCCCCATATATTTGTCCTAATCTAGAGACAAAGGCCTCTACTCAACGTTGAAGTAGGGCTCTTCATTCTGTTTATCTCTGTGGGACAATGTTGAGTCACATCTGAAAAGGAAGGCAGCAATATCATGTACAAAAGAAAAAGAAATTTAAAATGATGGGCAAATATTTCTCACAAGTGTTACTTACTTGGATTTTGAGGGAAAAGAGTACAACTTTTGCAATGAATTATTTCTTTAACTACAGCCACTTCTGTTGGTGGTGGAGGTGGGACTAGCCCCAGACCTGGTATCATTGGGTTAATGGGGGTGATCCCAGTCATCATGTTGAGCCCTGGATCGAAGCCTGGTACACAGATTGAATCTGCAAGATATACAAGACGACATTTTGGAGGAGGAGCTTAAAGCCATTTATTGTTTTTGCTATTTTCCTACAAAGATTATTTGACTTTATGTTTTCTGTTTTTTCAGGATTTGCTCCTGGCATAAGATGTAGCATAATAGAAAGTTATTCCAGAAGTGTAAAGAGAAAATAAAAGATGAACTTAAAACTACACGAAAAGGAAATTATATTACTTAAAATATTAACATGGCAGAACAGAACACAGCATATTAAAGTGTAAAACCATACTCTGTGAAGCTATACTATTATGGTGAATGTGATTTTCTGTTTCTTAATATCAATGTGTTGTTTACACTGCCTTATGACCCAGATTGTGGGAAGAATATTACTTAACATTGAAGTGCCCTGTGAATCTAATTGTCAACCTTGCTTCATCAAAAGAACCTTCTTTTCCAAGTGACCTAGATTTAGGAAAGTTCAATTTATATGTGTGTACTCTGTAATCATGCATTCAGGTCCAATCTAACCTATTTCCCCCAGGAAATAAAAAACAAAGTGTGGTTATAATTACCATGGCTGGGTTAGATACATGCAGGCATAAAATTAGCTATATATACATTTGTGACTTTTATTGGATAATCATGCTTTTTTCCTGTAACTTAATCAACCAATAATTGGCTCACACTTCTGAAATTTTTATGCTTTGCATAAAAAAAAAAAGGGCTAAGAAATGGAAGGCGACTAAAGGATGGGTTTTCCAATATAAATACTGAATTTTTTTTGGTATGATAATGAAGCAAGTAATTTCTTTTTCTTTTTTTTTTTTAAAGATTTATTTATTTATTTATACAAGCACTAGGTACAGTCAGAAGCGCAGGAGGGTGAGAGAATTCACCAGAGACAAGGGAACAGATCAGGCAGACTGAAGAGGTACACTGCTGAGTGGAGTAGCGGGTGGCAAGAGAGGTCAGCACGCCAAGTGGGACTCTCGCAGGCGGCCAGGGATGGAACCGGCACTGCAGAGGCTGCGGGCAGCTTTACAACCCAGGGCTCAACCATTGCGCCACCGGGGAGGCCCAGTAATTTCTTATTTATTTATTTATTTTCTTACACCACTGTTCGTTTTTGACAGTGTTTGCTTTCTCCCCTCAGGCATAGTCCCTATAGTTTTCTATAGCACCCGAGATCATCACCACAGTCCCTGGTGGCTCTTCCTGTCCCTGCTTTGACACCTCTCCCTCCTCCCCTGCTGTATGCTTCAGATCTTTGGTCAGCTTAAGCAACTAATTTCAAAGGTGATATATGAAGATTTTATTTTTAAAAAGTGAGACCTATGTTAGAGCAGGGCCTGTTAAAATACTGTACCAAGTTTATACAAGTAGCTATAAGAAGAGTCCATTCCTGAGAGAGTTTTTCTGTTTGCAGAAAAGAAATATAGGTTTCCTCTGCTAGGATTTGGTAAGAAAGATTAGCAGGTTATTTTGGGGGTCTGGGAATATTATTCCCATTAATCTATATGGGAGATTATTTTGAGCATTCTCAATAACCCCCCCCAAATAGTCACTCAAAAAAGGATGTTCTATCTTCAGCTAGTGGGGGGGGGGGACCTGTACTCTCACTTTTCCTGACAGAATAACAGCACAGATGTGACCAGGAATAGTCAGGGGTGACCCTCCACTACTCCTCAGGATGACATTTCTTCTGTTTATTTCCTCTCCCATCTTACTCTTCTTCCTCTTCCTAGATCATGTCCATTCTTCCTTCCTACCCTGTCCTCTGTAAGTCTCACATACAGTCCATGCCTTAGACCCTCACATGGCCTCATTCTTTGCTAATCTGTCCAAAATGTTGGATAAGCCCAGAAGTAGATGAAATAATAACTAAATTTTTGTTCACAAAGATAATCCAGAGGGTAGAGAAGGACCTGTATAAACTTTTCCTTTCTAAATGCAAATGGCCAACAGGCATATGAAAAAATGTTCAACATCCCTTATAATCAGGGAAATGCAAATCAAAACCACACTGAGATACCACCTTACACCAGTAAGAATGGCACGAATCAAAAAAACAAGCAACAACAAATGTTGGCGGGATGCGGTGAAAAAGGAACTCTCCTACATTGCTGGTGGGAGTGCAAACTGGTCCAACCACTGTGGAAAGCTGCCCGGAGGTTCCTCGGTCTACTAAAAATGGAGCTACCATACGATCCGGCAATTCCACTACTAAGGATCTACCCAAAGGACACAAAAACAGTGATTCAAAAGAGCACCTGTACACCTATGTTTACTGCATCACTATTTACAATAGGTAAAACCTGGAAACAACCCAAATACCCAAAAGTAGATGACTGGATCAAGAAGATGTGGTACATATACACAATGGAACATTATTCAGCAATCAAAAAAGATAAACTCATGCCATTTGCAGCAATGTGGATGCAGCTAGAAGGAATTATGCTCAGTGAAATAAGCCAGAAGGAAAAAGAAAAATTTCGGATGGTTTCACTTATATTCACAGGAATATAGGGGAACCAAGTAAGACATCAGTGTAAAAACATATATAATAACAGCACAAAACACAACAAAGCAAAAACAGACAATTACAAATCAGAGACATCCTGCAGGGGAGGAGGAGGGAGAGGGATCAGAGGGAGGGAGGGAGGAGCACAGGAGACTGTGGTGATGGTGCACGGGTACCTCGGAAGGAAATTCTATGGGGACTCAATCTGAGAGGATGGGGGGAAGCAAATATTGTTTTAAAAATGTAAAAAATGATAAATGTTAAAATAAAAAATAAAAATAAAAATAAATAAACTTTTCCTTTCTGGGAAATCAAGATTATTATAACTTTCCCCCAGCTATCTTGAATATTTCCACTCCTCCTTTGGGTTGAACAGAATAAATAGCATGATCCTAATATATAGCCCCAAAAGGTGATGTCCCATTTATTAGGAAATCCCCTTAATCTGAGAGTGTAACAGGGTAACTTAAGTAAAACAAGAGTTTTTCTTTTTTTTAAATACTACATGTAAATGCAAGGTAAGTGTTGTCTTTAAAATTTTGGAAGAATATGAGTGTAGGTATTAGTTCATCTTTGGAAGTTTAGTATAACTCATTAGTGAAGCAATCTGGTCCTGACCAAAACTAACGAATGTTAATAAATACTCTGAGGGCTCTGAGGTTAAGTGGGCAGTGGGGAGGAGAAAGGGACAGGATGTAATGGTTGGTCATGGAGAAAAGTTTTTAAATATATAGAAACATATAAGTCATATATTATGAGAATACACACACACACACACACACCCATATATATATAATAAACATCTTTTTTTGACTATTTCAAAGTTTCCACCTAGAATGTCCAAGGTTGATCATTTACCTAATACAAGTCACCGCTGAACATTACGGTGCCCTTAAACAGCAAGATGTTTCCTCCCAAGTCAGATGCCAACTGTAAAGGAGAATAGTTCTCAGTATCCTCATCACTGGAATAATAAACTGGCTGCCAAGGTAAATATATTAGAACTAGAAATGCTGGCAGCGAGAATATTGGCATGCTTATTTGGTTGCTCTCATTCTGTGCATAAGATATGTCTGTTTCTTTCCTGGCCTGGCCCTCACTATTGTTTGCCAACTTGTGATTTCAGCCTGAAACCGCTCAGGACTGCAAGCCCCAAAATGAGAGGCCTGTGAATTATACTAACCAGCTGTTTCCCACAAACAGGATGAGGAGGCCCGTGCTTGCCTCTCCTTTCAGTTGTAAGAGATGTCTGTTTTCATTTTGAAGACCAAATAAATAAATACACCCTCAGAAGAGGGGGCAAAAGACAATAGTTTTGAGCAATATTTTAATATATAGCAAGAACTCTGATTTTTCTGAGCATCAATATGAAAAGACCATGAGGATTAATGAAAGCTGCATGGTGAGAGCAATAGCTTGAAAAGCGCTCAGAAGGGAATGAACACTAAATTTTGCTGGACCTCAAAAGATCTAAAATTCAGGATTTGAGAGGAGGAAGTAGGGAGGGAATTACTTTTTTTAAAATTTTTATTTATTTAATTTATTTATACAAGCACTGGGGTACAGTCAGAAGCGCGGGAGGGTGACAGAATTCACCAGAGCCAGAGCAGGGAGCAGAGCAGGCAGAAGGACCAAAGTACACTGCTGAGGGGAGCAGCAGGCGGCAGGAGAATTTTGTGCGCCATGCGGAACCCTCCTCCGGTGGCCGGGAAGCAGCCGGGGATCGAACCAGCGCTGCAGAGGCTGCGGGCAGCTTCACAACCCAGTGCTCAACCACTGCACCACCAGGGAGGCCCTAGACTTTTTTTTTTTAATTAGGATCCATTACTTTTTAAAAATATAAGAACAGATGGAAATTGTTTTCTCAAACAGCACAGGAACCTATTATGTACTAACTCATTAAGGCAAATTCACAAAATTTGAAAGTCTGAGAAAGACACATGCTCAAGAAGGCAAAGGTGGGGAAAGAGATAAGCTCTGAGACTCAGATCCTCCTCTTGCTTAGAAAACCTGCCACTACCAACTTCAGAGAAGAGTTAGAAGCTGACGCAGGGAAAAGTGGAAGATGGCTTAAATTGCAGAGAGAAAGACTTCAGTTAAGCATGTGGTAGAATTTTCTTGTAGAAACTGTACTTAAACAAATGTTTCCAGGGACGCAGCTCCCCTCCATGTTGCTGGGTTGCTGGCTACAAGTGCCAGGCAACAAGGTCAAGTCCAACAAATGTTGGCTGGACTATGGCCCAGTGCTTTGTCAATTAGACAGGCATTTCTTAGAGGAGGGCTGGGTTCTGTGTTCACATTAGAGGCATGGCCAATTCTCTCTCTCTCTCCTCTCCTTTCTATGTTTACTGAGCCTCAAAGGGCTAAAAGTGTTGTCCAGAAAGGAACCTGCCAGGGAGAACCCGATAGACCTAGGAATTCCGAATACTATCCAGGGCTGCTGGCCGGTGAGCATGTGACCGTATGGTCACAATAACTGGCCGGTGAGCATGTGACTGTGT